GTAGGTGTTTCCGTAGGGGCAACGACGGTGGAAAGTCCGAACCAAATTCCCACCATGCACATTCCTCCTGAGTATGCCGATTTGGCACTCGCCTTCTGTAAAAATAAGGCGACTCAATTACCACCTCATCGACAGGGGGATTGTGCGATAGACCTCCAGGTAGGCGCTGCGCTTCCTCGTAGTCATGTGTATCCCCTGTCTCAGGAGGAGATGGCAGCTATGGAGACATACGTCACCAAATCTCTGAGACAGGGATACATACGATCGTGCACTTCTCCTGCGTCCTCGAGTTTCTTTTTTGTGAAGAAGAAGGATGGGGGTTTACGCCCGTGTATTGATTACCGTGGTCTCAATCAGATTACAATCAAATACAGCTATCCTCTCCCTCTGATTGCTAGTATGACGGAGTCATTACACGGGGCGCGATTCTTCACAAAATTGGATCTCAGGAGCGCGTATAATCTGGTGCGCATTAGGGAGGGAGATGAGTGGAAGACAGCGTTCAGTACCACCTCGGGTCACTATGAGTACCTCGTCATGCCATACGGTTTAATGAATGCTCCTTCAGTCTTCCAATCATTTGTGGACGAGATTTTCCGGGATTTGCATGGACAGGGTGTAGTGGTGTATATTGATGACATTCTAATATACTCTGCTACACGAGCCGAGCATGTGTCCCTGGTGCGTCGGGTGCTGGGTAGACTGTTGGAGCATGACCTGTATGTGAAGGCGGAGAAATGTCTGTTCTTCCAAGAGTCCATCTCCTTCCTGGGACATCGGTTGTCCGCGTCAGGGGTGAAGATGGAGATTGACCGCGTTTCAGCCGTGCGTAATTGGCAGACTCCCACCACGGTGAAGGAGGTGCAACGGTTTTTGGGTTTTGCCAATTACTACCGGAGGTTTATCCGGGGCTTTGGACAGGTAGCAGCTCCCATCACCTCCCTGCTAAGAGGGGGCCCGGTGCGTTTGCAGTGGTCAGCTGAGGCGGACAGGGCGTTTAGACATCTGAAGGACCTGTTCACCTCGGCCCCGGTGCTGGCACATCCGGATCCCTCTTTGGCGTTCCAAGTTGAGGTGGATGCGTCCGAGGCGGGGATCGGTGCTATACTGTCTCAGCGCTCTGGCACGCCTCCAAAACTCTGCCCCTGTGCTTTCTATTCTAAGAAGCTCAGTCCGGCGGAACGCAATTATGACGTGGGGGACAGGGAGCTACTAGCGGTGGTCCAAGCCCTGAAGGTTTGGAGGCATTGGCTTGAGGGGGCTAAACACCCTTTTCTCATTCTGACTGACCATCGTAACCTGGAGTACATCCGGGCAGCGAGGAGACTGAACCCTCGTCAGGCTAGGTGGGCCATGTTTCTTACCCGGTTTGTATTTAAGCTCACTTATATACCAGGGTCACAGAACACTAAGGCAGACGCCCTGTCCCGACGTTATGACACAGAGGAGAGGTCCATTGAGCCCACTCCCATACTTCCGGAGTCTTGTCTGGTGGCACCGGTGGTGTGGGAGGTCGATGCGGACATTGAGCGGGCGTTACGTGCCGACCCTACTCCCCCAGAGTGTCCAAAGGGACGGAGGTACGTGCCGCTCGAGGTCCGTGATCGACTGATATATTGGGCTCACACGTCACCCTCCTCTGGTCATCCTGGTATTGGTCGGACAGTGCACTGCCTTAGTGGGAAGTACTGGTGGCCCACCTTAGCTAGGGACGTGAGGGTTTACGTTTCTTCCTGCTCGGTGTGCGCCCAGTGTAAGAGCCTAGACACCTGCCCAGAGGGAAGTTACAACCCCTACCCGTTCCACAACGGCCGTGGTCTCACCTGTCGGTGGATTTTGTCACGGACCTTCCCCCCTCCCAGGGGAATACCACGATCTTGGTCGTTGTGGATCGGTTTTCTAAGGCCTGCCGTCTCATTCCTATGCCAGGTCTTCCTACAGCCCTACAAATGGCCGACGCCCTGTTTACTCACGTCTTCCGGCACTACGGGGTGCCTGAGGATATAGTGTCTGATCGGGGTCCCCGGTTCACCTCTAGAGTCTGGAGGGCGTTTATGGAACGTCTGGGGGTCTCGATTAGCCTTACCTCGGGTTTTCACCCTGAGAGTAATGGGCAGGTGGAGAGAGTAAACCAGGATGTGGGTAGGTTTCTGAGGTCCTATTGCCAGGACCGGCAGGAGGAGTGGTCGGGGTATATCCCCTGGGCAGAGATAGCCCAAAACTCACTCCGCCACTCCTCCACTAATCTTACGCCTTTTCAGTGTGTGCTGGGTTTTCAGCTGGTCCTGGCACCCTGGCATTAGAGCCAGATCGAAGCCCCTGCGGTGGATGAGTGGTTTTGGCGCTCAGAGGAGACATGGAACGCTGCGCATGTCCATCTGCAGCGGGCTATCAGACGGCATAAGGCGAGCACCGATCGCCACCGCAGTGAGGCTCCGGTTTATGCACCGGGAGATCGGGTCTGGCTCTCGAACCAAAACCTGCCCCTTTGCCTGCCCTGCCGGAAGCTGGGTCGGCGGTTTGTGGGGCCATTTAAAGTCCTGAGGAGATTGAACGAGGTATGTTATAGGTTACAACTTCCCATTAATTACCGCATTAACCCCTCGTTCCATGTGTCTCTCCTCAGGTCGGTGGTAGCTGGTCCACTCCAGGAGAATGAGATAGGAGAGGCTCCTCCGCCCCCACTAGACATCGAGGGGGCTCCGGCGTACTCAGTCCGTTCCATCGTGGATTCGAGGCGTCGGATGGGGGGTCTGCAGTATCTCGTGGAGTGGGAGGGGTACGGTCCGGAGGAACGGTGCTGGGTCCCTAGGAGGGACATCCTAGATCCCTCCCTATTGAGGGATTTCCACCGGAGTCATCCGACTCGCCCTGCTCCGCGTCCTCCTGGCCGTCCCCGAGGCCGGGGTCGGTGCACGGCTGGGGCCGCGCGTCAAGGGGGGGGGGTACTGTCACGGATTCAGCCGAGGCTGCTCCTCCTCCTTGCTCGGGCAGGCTTCGGCGTTCGTCGTCCCCGGAGTACTAGCTGCTGCCGATCGATGTTTCGGTGTTTGTCTTGTTTGGTCTTTATTGTTTACACCTGTTTCCCATTATGTTGGATTGTATTCCCTATATTTACCCCTGTCTCTCATTTGGTTATTTTGTGTGTGATTATTTGTTTGTCATTCCGGCAGTTTCTCGTATGTACGGGTCTTTGTGTTTTCCTCCCTGTTTTGGAGGTTTGTTGTTTTGTACGTTTATTTTACTGTGTTCAGTAAAGAACGTTGCCAGCCGCTCTGTGTCCTGCATTTGACTTTGCTAACCGCATACACGTCGCTTGACAGTTACTGATTACAATTTTGGACCGTTAACTAGTAACTGTAACAGAAAACATTTAGAAAGTAGCCTAACCTACCCAACCCTGCTTCTGAAGCACTTCAGGATGATTTTTTGCTTCATATATGGAGTGTATATTTAAGCAATAATGCCCGAGGGGGTGTGGCATATTGCCAATATACCACAGCTAAGGGCTGTTCTTATGCACGGCGCAAAGCGGAGTACCTGGATACAGCCCTTAGCCGTGGTATATTGGCCATATATCACAAACCCCCGAGGTTCCTCATTGCTATTATAAACTGGTTACCAATGTAATTAGAGCAGTAAAAATAAATGTTTTGTCATACCAGTGGTATATGGTCTGATATACCACGGCTGTCAGCCAATCAGCATTCAGGACTCGAACGACCCAGTTTATAATAAAACATAGATAGGCCTGTTGCTTTTAGTCTTATAAGAAACGTATTTGAATGTTATGAAACTACAACTCTTGTGCTCATTAGTTTAGATTTGGAATTCAACAGCAATACAGTTAATTTATTTTATGTAATACCCCACTTTGCTGGTAGTTCTCTGTGACCTTACTGTGTAACCTAAGTAGGCAATCTTATGTTTGGAAAATGAAGCAATGTGATCAGATGGCTGAATGTATTTTCATGAGTGTTTTGGAAGAACTCTTGAGGGGCAGGCAGTATCAAAGGAGAGTGCTGTCCTGGGTAAGAACCAAGCATGCTTACTGACCAGGGCACAGGTCGTCATCATCTACCTCATGAAACAAATCCCCAAGTATCTCTGGACACATGGCATACTAGTGTTTTGCAATAAGTCTTCCACCAACAGTCTATACTCACTGCTGTCAACATGTTGAGGTTGTGTTTTTGACATGACCTTTCTTGGTTAACTATGATAGTGTATAATGATCTGTTTTCTCTTGGTATTTGTATTATAAATATTTTTTTCAAATTTGGAGAACATTGATTTGTTCTCAGAGAAAAATAGCCTTCTCTTGTTGGATACATGTCTGAAGGCTAGATTCGGAAAATGTGACGTGCACTTGCGCCTATTTGTAGGCCTGCTATAAATAGGGTCCTGCTGGCACCACAAGCATGTGTATAATTGACAATTGCAGTCAGAGCTTTGCCTCTGGGACTCTGAAAAGCCTATCAATGGTAAGTTCACAAATTATCAACTTTTGTTTCAACCAAGAAGTGTTTGAGTTCAATGTTAACCTCTGAATTCTAAAAGATTGTCTAAGGGTTCAGTTTGACTCTTAATAATCCTTGTAGAGCCTGATAACAGTTCATATTTATACCTTTCTTCATTGCAACTGCTTAGCTTGGTCAAAAGAAAGCAGTTTCCACTGTCTGAATCCCTTCGGAGTTTGATCATTGTTGCGTTGCTTGAGAAAGGTGCATACAGGTATTTTAGTCTTTGAGGATCTATTTGAATGGGTGAATGGTTTCCCAAAGACTAACCTAGACCAACATTTAACAGTATTTACAGCTGTTTTCTCCTTTCTTTTCCAGCTACTCTTACACATGTAAGACAACTGCAACTTGAAACTGGGGCTTTGATCCATGACAAGCTGAGCATTTTTTACTCAAGCAGCAGTCTTCTATAGTAGACACTTTTCCTTTATATTTGTGGGAATATCTGTTGGGTGGTCAATGACTTCCAGAAGACCAATGACCCGTTCTTACTCTGGCAATGGGAGGTCCGGCGGCAGCTACAATGAGGAGGAGGTCAGCTCTTCGAATGGCCGCTTGGAGAGCAGCAACTACCTCTCCAATGTCAGGCCTGAAAACAGGTAGATCACCTCTTCTTACTTGTTTCAGTGTGACGCTGGGCATTTTAGTGCGACTCTGTCCACCACACACATTCATTAGATATTTCAGCCATCTCAACATATCTGTGAAGGGTTTCATAAAGTCCAAAATGCTACATGGCAAGTAATAACCAAGTAACAGTATTTCAGCATTCTTAAGAAAAGCACAACTCTTAGAAGACCAGTAAGAATTCCTTTTGTAGCCTACTTTATAAATACAACAGAGTCCCGTGTAAGACAATCTAAGACACAAAACCACCAATATGTCTGATGGGCAGCCTTTATTTGCCTTCTCTCTGAATAGCTACTCAAGGTATTCTCAATCCAGGTCATTGAGGTAATGCATACATTTACAACATCCATTCCAACTAACATATTAACCACACATCCCGGTTTACCCCCAAGAGTGAAAAAGCAAATCTACACCTGTTTTTTAACAATGCTGTAAGTGAACATGTTATATTGACTTTGATGTTATTGAACATTGACGTTGATATACAATTTCATTGATATGACGTTGTTGAAAATATAACTTTGTAAGTACTGTTACCATGTCACTTTTTCAACTGCTGAGAAATGTTAAATGTTTGAGAGAGCAATCTCAATCTCCCTTCATAATCAGTAATGATTAGTAACTGCCTTCTTTCCCTGCCTGGAATAAACAATGTACAGAATAAGGGTTGGCTAAAAGATCCTTGAAATATTGGCTTTCTTATTGGAAAGTACTTTAGCACATGCCCTGAAGAACAGACACTAAAGCTAAAGCACCCTTTCTCTCTCCAGGAGTACATTGTTTGGTGTGATGGCTCAGCTGACTGAGGACACCCAGCCTGTATTTGAGACCACTGTTAAATCCAAGGCCGTGTCAGAGAACTGTAATGTGAAGTTGACATGTGTGGTTACAGGTAGGCCTACCTCCCTCAGAGTTGTGTATGTGTGTTGGAATGCATTAGATAGTTATGAGTTGAGGATTGGTATTACAAATTAGTCATTCTGTGGTTAGTTTGAAAATAAAAGCAGAGAAACAAACCTACTTCTAAACAGCGATGCAAACATGAATTGAGAAGGGCGATAAATGATGATAAACGTAGACTTTTGCTCTTCTTGCGGAAGACAATGCAAAGAGAAAAGTTACTTCAAAATGCTTATGACTGCTTATGAATGCTTATTCTTATGTTTTATTCTAAAGCCCAAACCACCCCGACCCCCTGACCAACGAGTTCAATGCTTCCTTCAATACTCCCCGCTAGGCAAACAGTTCGACCATATCATTAAAAAACACTGGCACATCTTGAGCTCGTCACACTGAGATACATTGGTATCGAACATGTTAAGACTCCTAGGAGGGGGGAGATACTGAATATCTATTACTGAGAAGAGAATTGTATTGGATTCACTGTTTGTCCACCATGTCTACTAAAGGTCTGAACCAAGAGTTTGATATCAGACCATTTCTTACAGGAATATGTCACGTTGATTAGACCTGCCATCCAGGTCTCCACTTGGTCATTTTGTACACATATTACATTTTTTGTAACTACTACATGTGCCCATCATTGATATCAAATTATTAGAGGTACACAAGTTGTTTTTGATATACACTATATATACAAAAGTATGTGGACACCCCTTCAAATTAGTGGATTTGGCTATTTCAGCCACACCCATTGCTGACAGGTGTATCAAATCGAGTACACAGCCATAGGATGCCAGTTCGTCAAACTTCTGCCCTGCTAGAGCTGCCTCGGTCAACTCTAAGTGCTGTTATTGTGAAGTGGAACCGTCTAGGAACAACAACGGCTCAGCCGCGAAGTGGTAGGCCACACAAGCTCACAGAACTGGACCGCTGAGTGCTGAAGCGTGTAGAAAATCATCTGTCCTCGGTTGCAACACTGCCTCTGGAAGCAACGTCAGCACAATAACTGTTTGTCGGGAGCTTCATGAAATGGGTTTCCATGGCCGAGCAGCCGCACACAAGCCTAAGATCACCATGCGCAATGCCAAGCGTCGGCAGGAGTGGTGTAAAGTTTGCCTCCATTTAACTCTAGAGCAGTAGAAACACGTTATCTGGAGTGATGAATCACGCTTCAACATCTGGCAGTCCAACGGACAAATCTGGGTTTGGTGGATGCCAGGAGAACGCTACCTGCCCCAATGCATAGTGCCAATTGTAGTTTGGTGGAGGAGGTATAATGGTCTAGGGCAGTTTGTCATGGTTCGGGCCAGGCCCCTTAGTTCCAGTGAAGGGAAATCTTAACACTACAGCATACAATGACATTCAAGACGATTCTGTGCTTCCAACTTTGTAGCAACAGTTTGGGGAAGGCCCTTTCCTGTTTCAGCATGACAATGCTCCCATGCACAAAGCAAGGTCCATACAGAAATGGTTTGTTGAGATCGGTGTGGAAGAACTTGACTGGCCTGTACAGAGCCCTGACCTCAACCCCATCGAACACTTTTGGGATGAATTGGAACTCCGACTGCGAGCCAGACCTAATCACCCAACATCAGTGCCAAACCTCACTAATGCTCTTGTAGCTGAATGGAAGCAAGTCCCTGCAGCAATGTTCCAACATCTAATGGAAAGCCTTTCAGAAGAGTGGAGGCTGGTATAGCATCAAAAGGGGACCAACTCCATATTACTGCCCATGATTTTGGAATGAGATGTTCGACGAGCAGGTGTCCACATACTTTTGGTCATGTAGTGTAGGTTACTGTAGTTATATCTATGGCCACCACGCGTCCTGCGCATAATGGTCATATGGGCGGGTACTACAACGTAATCTCTTTTTTTTTTTACTGTTGCCTAGGTTTTAACTTGGACACATTTGTATGTATAGAATCCATTATGACCATATGTACCTCTATGACTAATTATGATTGACTACGGGCAAAAGTTAACTGAATTCTTTCCACACCCACCATGCGTCATGTGTGTAATGGTCATGTGAGGTGAAATATGTATATTTTGGGATGTGAGCACTCAGTCCGTTTCAGATCAAAGCGTAGTCAATAAAGCTGTGACGAGTACTGATGATACGAAGAGGCAGGACGCAGAAATCAACAATGTAAAGGTTTACTTAACACTGAGCAAGAGAACAACAAAGCGCGAGTACACGACAAGACACTAACAATCACACACAACACAACACTGAACAGTCCAGGGCTATATAGGGGTGGTGATGAGCTAACGTTGGGTTTCCATTCCGGTGTTGCCGAGGTGGTGCGCTCAGACCGGTGGCTCAGTAGACCGGTGAATCAGAGCGCTGGAGGGGAGCGACGGGAGGAAACGTGACAAAAGCAGTGAATTGGGAGCATAAACAGTGTGCGGGCCTTCCGGTTCTTTACAATTATTCTAAAGCGTATTTAGTAACGTAAAAAAAAAAAAAAAACAGTACAAAAATAAAGGCAGCTGAGACTAAATTATCAATGGCATAATGTAGGATTAAAAATCTAAGTAGGTTTTGCTGTTGCCTTCCCCACGGCACTTGGGTTGGCTGCTTTTCAACCACAGCAGTAAAACTTGTGGCCTTGCATACTGCTATGATGCAACAGTCTGAAACATGCCTTTGTTCCTATGTTTAAATTATTAATTATTTCATAAGATGCATGAAAATAACTAGTGGCTGCTGTGTGCAAATCTCAAGAGTAACCAGTATATACACAATTAGGATCATGAGGTGCATAATCTTAATGAGAGATAAACATGAAACTATCAATATCTTATCAAAAATAGATTTATTTTAGTATTAAACCAAGTCATTATATTACACTGTATGTCTGTGATGTACCATCTCCATGTGATGTCCACAGGTAGCCCAGCCCCAGAACTGACGTGGTACAGAGACGACATGGAGTTGGACCGATACTGCGGTCTTCCAAAATATAAAATTGGCTGCAATGGAAAAGCCCACACACTCCATATTTACAAGTAAGTAAGACAGAGAAAACCATACACCATTTACACCAGATAATACATGTCTGGAAATTCAACAATTACAATTTGGGTTTTAGATTTGTATTTGTGCTCAATGCTGCCTGCACAGTTCCCTAAATTATTTGAGTCTCTCTCTTTGCAGCTGCACAGTGGATGATGCAGCTATCTATCAGGCTTCAGCCAGGAACAGCAAAGGCATTGTCTCCTGCTCTGGGGTTCTGGAGGTGGGCACCATGAGCGAGTTCAAGATCCACCAGAGGTTCTTTGCCAAGCTGAAACAGAAGGCAGAGAACAAGAAGAGGGAGTTGGAGGAGAGCAGGAGAAGGGGCAAGGAGAACGTCCAGAAGGAGCCTCGGGAACAGCAGCCTCTCTGGAGCGGCCCGATCCCCTCTCAGAGGAAACGCCGGGCCTCAAGCGTCCCCTCCTCACCACCAGATGGGGAGGAGATCACAGTCAGCCAGATAGCACCTGCTGTTGTAGAATCTCCAGTAACACCTACAGAGAATGGGAGCAAGACTCCCAACAGAGAAACCTTGGCCAAAAATAAAATAAAGGTTTCAAATGGTGTAGATTCTGGGGTTGTCAGCAGTAGTCATACAGGACCGGGCAGTAATCATACAGGACCGGGCACCGGTGAAAATTCATATGATGGAGGGATAAGTTTGTCTCAATTTCTGGCAGAGACCCTTCATTCACAGACTGCTGAAGAAAAGATCCCTGCACAAGTGGAGGAAACATTGGCAGTGGAGGCAATGGATACTAGTGCTGCAGATCCTGAAACAGATGTGGAAAAACAAAAAGAGAGAGAGGAGAAGGGGAGAGAGAGGGCGGAGAGAGAGAGGGCGGAGAGAGAGGGGGCGGAGAGAGAGGGGGCGGACAGAGAGGGGGCAGAGAGAGAGGGGGCAGAGAGAGAGAGGGCGGACAGAGAGGGGGCGGAGAGAGAGGGGGCAGACAGAGAGGGGGCGGAGAGCGAGAGGGCAGAGAGAGAGAGGGCGGAGAGAGAGGGGGCGGAGAGAGAGAGGGCGGAGAGAGAGGGGGCGGAGAGAGAGAGGGCGGACAGAGAGGGGGCGGAGAGAGAGGGGGCGGACAGAGAGAGGGCGGACAGAGAGGGGGCGGACAGAGAGAGGGCGGACAGAGAGGGGGCGGAGAGAGAGAGGGCGGACAGAGAGGGGGCGGAGAGAGAGAGGATGCTTGGAGAACTGGAAAGAGAGAAAATGAGAGGGGGAGAACTGCCAATTGAGAGAGAAAAAGAAAGAGGAAGAGAGACAGAACAGTTGCATAGGACAACAGCACATAACAACAGTGCCTCAGAGGTCAAAATGGAGGCTAAGACGCATGCCCACAAGGAGGGAGATCATCACGATCACCACCACATGCAGGAAACTCTTTCCAATGTGCTCCACTCAGTCAAATACTTTTTCTTTGGTAAGAGCAAGAAGGATCATGCTTCTCATGATCATCATGTGAAAGGTCAGGAGAGAGAGAGGGGTCCTCCAGTAGTCCCAACACAGTCATACCCTAGCCTTCCCCATCCACAGGAGCCAGATGGTCAACCAGAGGTGTATAAAAACCCCACAGAGGAGACAGTACCTATGGAGGTAGATGGGCCACAGAAATCCCTGATAACTCTGGTACCACACCAGCAGCCAGATTCATTGGAGCGGTTGAACCCAGATGAACACAAGCATGGAATTACTGTTTCACACCCAGAAGAACCCCCTTCAGCTCCCCAAAAAGCACCAGAGAGTGTGCCTGATTCACTGGAGCATGTTGAGCAGAGGGCCATGTATGTATGTCCGGAGGTGATCAGCAACAGTACAGAGACAGTGCCCAAGTCTGGCCCTCCAGCCCTCAGTGAGGTGAGTTGTGCCTTGTTGCTTCTGAGATCACATTGACCGCTCAGTATCACACTGCAGTAGGGAACCACTTAAAGGCTATTTATTGACTGTACATTTGTGCAACAGGACTTGAGTCTAACCACCCCAGGCCAACAGCTAAAACTGTATATATGATTAAGCCACAGCAAATAGCTAGAGAAAGTCCAAAGAATATGGTGTGTGCAGATTAATCATTACAGAGACAATGCTGACCAGACCGCCCGCGCGCGTGCATGTTGATTTTGTCCACCCACACCAGACACGATCAGGACACGCAGGTTGAAATATCAAAACAAACTCTGAACTATATCAATTTGGAGACAGGTCGAAAAGCATTAAACATTTGTCAATTTAGCTAGCTAGCTTGCTGTTGCTAGCTAATTTGTCCTGGATATAAACATTGGGTTGTTATTTTACCTGAAATGCACAAGGTCCTCTACTCCGACAATTAATCCACAGATAAAAGTGTAAACTGAGTTTGTTTCTAGTAATGGCTTCTTCTTAATCTTCTTCTTCTGTGGGTTTTATGGCGGACTACATCCAAAAGTTGTTTTGCCTCCACCAACTGGACGGTTTGAAACCACAAAATATATAAGATAAAAAATAAATCCATACTTAATAGGGGAACTAACTAAATCCACCCAAATAAAATAGTACATTGACAAAACAAAACTCCCATTTCTTCCTTCTTTTAAATCTCCATATCTCCCTTCTCAGTCTCTAGGGCCTGAGATGGTGGTACGGCTGTTGACAATATTCCATGTAACTCTTTTGCCGAGAAATCTTTCAGCCCCAGGAACCGTTCCGCCGCAACCACAATGATTTCTATCTTCCTAGATCTTTTCTCCACCTTGGCAGTGCCATTAATCACCATTGCGATAAAGGCCACAAAGTCCACCTTTTTAACCTTTAAAATGTCAGGATCATCTTCGTGAAAGGCAACCCCTGCAGCTTGCATTGAAGGCCTATCAACCACCATGGACTCTTCAGGAGCACCATTCAAACCCTAAACCCTTTTAACCGCTGCTGCATAGGAAATGCTCTGTACAACCCTAACTTTGGCCACCTCATTTTCTTTCACCCTTGTCGGGCATTCGAAAGACATGGCTTCATGGTTCCCACCACAATTGCAACATTTTAACTTTTTCAATACTTTTATAACACATTAATTGATCTTTTCCACAACTTGGACATCTCGGTTTCTCCCTTCTGCAAACCCTTGACACATGACAAAAAGCTTTACGGTGATCACACTGCATTGGTCTTGGGATAAATGCTCTGACTTTGTAGTTTATATACCCCAACTGCACTTGAGTAGGGAGAGACTCCATATCAAAAAACAAAAGAACAGATAAACTCTTCCCTTTTTCATCATTCACCACTCGATTCATCCGACGTGCATCAATCATTCCAGGAATATTTTTCATCTCTTTAACATCTTCTTCTTTGGACCTTATATGGTGGTTGGCAACCAACTTACCTCTTAAGGATCGGACCCTTTTTTTCAATTTTCGCCTACAATGACATACCCAAATCTAACTGCCTGTAGCTCAGGACCTGAAGCAAGGATATGCATATTCTTGATCCCATTTGAATGGAAACACTTTGATGTTTGTGGATATATGAAATTAATGTAGGAGAATATAACACATTAGATCTTGTAAAATATCATACAAACAAAAAACATGCGTTCTCTATTAATTTTTTTGTTCCATCATCTTTGAAATGCAAGAGAAAGGCCACAATATAATATTACAGTTTAGGCGCAATTTAGATTTTGGCCACCAGATGGCAGCAGTGTGTTTGCAAAGTTTCAGATTGATCCAGTGAAGCATTACAGTACTGGACTATTTTGTATCAAGTCTGCCCAAATGTGCCGAATTGGTCAATTGATACATTTTCATGTATATAATTATAGAGAACATACAAAAATGATATGGTAATACAAAATGTAAGTCTACACACTCCCAGGAATGTCATACATGATGCTTATACACTAACTTTCACAAATCTAGATGGCCGGGCGGGGTGGGTGTGGCGCCAGAGACAGCAAGGGTTCAAACTGTAGAACCCAGTTCTTACATTTGAATATAAAAATTGATTTTATCAAACAAAACTATGCTACATTTTATCTCTGGGACCCTCAGGATGACAAATCAGAGCAAGATTACTGAATGTAAGTACATTATTTACCTTCAGAGGTGAATGTATCAAACCAGTTGCCGTGATAAGTTTTGTTGTTGTGCACTCTCCTCAACCAATAGCATTGTATTTTTTCACTGTAATAGCTACTGTAAATTGGACAGTGCAGTTAGATTAACAAGAATTTAAGCTTTCTGCCCATATAAGACATGTCTATGTCCTGGAAAGTTTGTTGTTACTTACAACAGTCATGCTAATCACATTAGCGCACGTTAGCTCAACCGTCCCCCGATCCCGTAGAGGTTAAGGTGCATTACCACCACCAACTGGACTGGAGTGTGGACCTCAGTTCATCTTTCAATCACCCACGTGGGTATATGCTCCTAAAAAACCATGTGGAGATGGGAGAGGCGGGACTTGCAGCGCATCAAGCGTCACAAATAGAACCAAGTTCTATTTTAGCGCCTGGCCACTCAGACGCACGCGAGCAGTGTGGGCGCAATAATTGAATAACATGTATGTGTATATTTATTTTGCAACGCTCGCGCATGCGACGCGAGTGGTGTGGCCAGCATGTAGTTTGTTAGTTGTGTGTTCGTAGTCACTGTATCGTCTAAAACAGACAGATAACACTAACCCTTTAAAGAAACTATCAGTAACATGGGGGCAAGTGTGTCAGCCAGGCTCAGTCAGACTATCTAGACTCTTGAGAGTGTGGGTTTCAGTGCATCAGTATCACTCGAAGAGCAACACCTCAAGCAATGTAGTGGGGGAAACAGGGAACCTGCCCAACTTGTATAAAAGAATGAGACCATTGGGGCAGTCTGGTGTTGACTAATACAAATAATTCTCAGAGAGATTGGATAAGGTGAAAAAATGTGTGTTTACAAAAACTCCTATAAATTGAAATGAAAAACATTTTGTAATTCTCTGTGCACTGTTTTCACTGTGCTTTGATGGTAATGACAAAACTCTACCTCTATCTTACTGTCAAACTCTCACAGTTGTATTAGCATCCATTTGCATGTACTGAAGACAATAAGATAGACCATGAAATATGATTACATTTTAACAATGAGCTCTGCTGGAGAATATAATAATCTATCTTGTAACATTAAAGCTGTTCAACCCCGCCCCCCCCCAAAAAATAAAATAAAATAAAATAATAATAATAATAATAATAATAATAATAATAAATGTGTTATTTCATAGTTTTGATGTCTTCACTATTATTCTACAATGTAGAAAATAGTACAAATGAAGAAAAACCCTTGAATGAGTAGGTGTGTCCAAACTTTTGGCTGGTACTGTATATATATATAGACAGTGCATTGACCCTTATACTTTTTCCACATTTTGTTACGTTACAGCCTTATTCTAAAATGGATAACATTTGGTTTTTTCCTCATCCATCTACACACAATAACCCATAATGACAAAGTAAAAACGGGTTTTTATACATTTTGCAAATCTATAAAAAAACAATAACTGAAATATCACATTAACATAAGTATTCAGACCCTTTACTCAGTACTTTCTTGAAGCACCGTTGGCAGCGATTACAGCCTCAAGTCTTCTTGGGTATGACGCTACAAGCTTGACACACCTGTATTTGGGGAGTTTCTCCCATTCTTCTCTGCAGATCCTCTCAAGCTCTGTCAGGTTAGATGGGGAGTGTCGCTGCATAGATATTTCCAGGTCTCTCCAGAGATGTTTGATCGGGTTGAAGTCTGGGCTCTGGCTGGGCTACTCAAGGACATTCAGAGACTTGTCCCGAAGCCACTCCTGCGTTGTCTTTGCTGTGTGCTTAGGGTCATTGTCCTATTGGAAGGTGAACTGTCGCTCCAGTATGAGGTCCTGAGAGCTCTGGAGCTGGTTTTCATCAAGGATCTCTCTGTACTTTTATCCGTTAATCTTTCCCTCGATCCTGACTAGTCTCCCAGTCCCTGCCACTGAAAAACCTCCTCACAGCATGATGCTGCCGCCACCATGCTTCACCGTAGGGATGGTGCCAGGTTTCCTCCAGACGTAACGCTTGGCATTCAGGCCAAAGAGTTCAATGAGGTTTCTCATGGTCTGAGAGTCCTTTAGGTGCCTTTTGACAAACTCCAAGCGGGCACTCTAACATCTTCCGTCTGGACACTCTAACATAAAGGCCTGATTGGTGGAGTGCTGAAGAGATGGTTGTCCTTCTGGAAGGTTCTCCCATCTCCACAGAGGAACTCTGGAGCTCTGTCAGAGTGACCATTGGGTTCTTGGTCACCTCCCTGACCAAGAACCTTCTCCCGCGATTGCTCAGTTTAGGAAGAGTCTTGGTGGTTCCAAACTTCTTCCATTGAAGAATGATGGAGGCCACTATGTTCTTGGGGACCTTCAATGCTGCAAAAATGTTTTGGTGCCCTTCCCCAGATCTATGCCTCGACACAATCCTGGTTTTTGCTCTGACATGCACTGTCAACTGTGGGACCTTATATAGACAGGTGTGTGCCTTTCCAAATCATGTCCAATCAATTTAATTGACAACATGTGGACTCCAATCAAGTTGTAGAAACATCTCAAGGATGGTCAATGGAAACAGGATGCACCTGAGCTCAATTTCGAGTCTCATAACAAAGGGCTGAATACTAATGTAAATAAGGTATTTCTGTTTTTAATTTCTCATGAATTAGAAAACATTTCTAAAAACCTGTTTTCGCTTTGTCATAATCGGGTACTGTGTGTAGATTGATGAAGGGAAAAATTAATTTAATCCATTTTAAAATAAGGCTGTAACGTAACAAAAAGTTAAGGGGTATGAATACTTTCCAAATGCACCGTGTATATATATATATATATATATATATATATATATATACACACACACACAGTATATACAC